GGAGCTCTAGAACTCGAAGATCAAGTCTAATCATTACAAATAAAATAACATTTAGTGGCATAGAAAAAGCGTCACTAAAAAACGAAAAAGTGTCACTAAAAACCTTCTGGGCAATCAGCGGGACAAAAAATAAGTGCCACTAAAAGCGCTGCCACTAAAGGCCTTTAGTGGCACTTTTTGGTTGTGTCGCTGCAACCTTACTGGGTTTTAATGGCACTTTCCTGTTATGCCACTAAAGCACTTGTAGGTTTTAGTGGCACTATTTGTATGCCACTATTTTACTCCTAAAATAAATATTATTTTCATGCTTTTAGTGACTTTTTTTAACACGATAAAATTATATTAATCAATTAGGTCTAATTTTTTTTGTTAATTTTAAGAGAATATAAAGTAATAATAGGACAATTAATATAATAAATGGAAACAAATTATCATTATGTTAATTGAAACTTGTCTAACAACAATATTTCTTAATATATTTAAAATACAAACATATTCAAAAAAAAGTTTACAAGTCTAAATGTTATGCTAGTACTCAAAACATATTATTATCAAGCTAAATACTTGTTGCGGAAGAAACACGAAACTTGATTGACCTCAATCTTTGCAAATTTCTCCTCTTGTAACCATCGAAAGCATGATTGAATTTTCAAAGTTAAACGCCTTAACAAAGAAAAAAACTTATGCGTACAATGTTAATAGAAAATAATAAAAGTAGAATGCTATAATACTCAAATAAATGAAAGTACATTGGTATTTATTAGATAAGAAAGACTTACACACTTGAAAATTAGAAGCCTAGAAAAGCTGTCTGACATTTTTATCATCCAACACCTGAATCTCAAACGTGAAATATTTCATGATGTTATTCACAATGATAACCAAAAAAAGTAGCTTTATGCCAAGTGTAGCAATTTGATCAACAAGGCATGTAATATATGTTGACTGGACATTTGTTCCCACAATCTCAAAAATGTTTGACCCTATGTATTCTTCTTGTGTGTGTTTGACCTGACCATTAACAACAAAAATAGCCAAAAACTATTAAAAAAATGAACAAATTTTGAGATACAAAACACTTGCCTAACTCTAGTACATTTATATAAGCTAAAAATAAACATATATTTTGAGTAAACTACAAAAGCATCCTTGTTAATAATGCTCAATGATCACTTTCAAATCCTATAACTTGTTTCCCCTTAAAACAGAACAGGTGCCAAAACAAGTTGTGCAGAATTTTACTTAGTAAAATTAAAGATGTCTCATAAAATAAAAGGTTTTTTGAATTCTTGTTAAATGAAAGAGTAAATAGTTAAGTTTATCTACCATTTATACTTTAGTTTCTTGTATAGTTTCTTATTAGTATTTATATCTTTTTTTATATAAAAATGATGTCTTTCTTATTACAAAAAATTGTGACATACTCGTACCTATCTAATTTATTGAGAAAACATATATGTTAATTAGCATCCTTAATTCTTACAATTACCCGCTTTTCACTCTAAAAGTGTGAAATTATATTTCTATAAAGTTCACACTAAACAAAACATATCTTCATAATAATATTAAATTGCTAACAATTTCTTGCTTTCTTGTCATTACTGGTACTCAATCCATACCGAAATAACAACCAAATTAATCTCATAATGTAATTTCTATGGATGTATTTAGAATTAGCAAAGTACCTTTTCTATCATGTGTGAGCTCTATTTTCCATAATGAAAAGTTTTGCCATCACTGCTAACTGAGACTGATGTTTGGGTATATTTTGGGTTCAACAAGGGTTCCAAGCTCTCCCTCTTACATCATAATCTTTTTCAATGTCATCTTCATTGTATTTCAACTATGAATTCACCATTGGTGGCAACACTATAACAAGCAGCGAACATCAACCTGTAAAATTAAATTAAATTGTAAGTTTTATATGTTAATTAAACCTAACACGTTGGTCAAAATATTCCCATATGGTGGGGGTATGTGTACATGCAGTTGAGTAACTTATTGCAATAGATAAAAAGACTTGGTTGAATCCTATATATAAAAAGAGAGAAGAAAATGAAATTGAATGTACCTAAAGCATCTTAGTGGCAAACAAAATTAATGCCTTAAGCATAAATCAAAACCATAATCAATTGATTTTCATGGACAATTGGTCGAACAGCTGGTGTGCCCTGTTCTATCAACCTAAAAAATATATATAACAAGAAAGGAAGAAACCCTAACTTGAAACACAAACTATAGATCATCTTAAACACAAACCCATTCCTGATACCACCACCATCCCATCAAATTAGTTATAGTTTCTAAGAAGGAGAATTAATGGAATGTTGAATTTGAGACGTACCTATAAAAGCTTCATTCAAAGCTTATTCTCTTTACAAATTTCTATCCAGATGGCTAAATAGTAACTTGAGTTTAGTTGTGGAACCAAAAATGACATGGAGAGATGGATGCATCAGTCTGATGGTTGGGCTGCCTCACCACTGATACCACCATCATCCTTAAATTTACTTCTTTCCCCGTTTCTGCAAGGGCTTGATATTACGAAACAAGTCGAATTAATTACAAAAATAAAACTTCCAAAGTTAGACATCAGACCCCATCTGATTATCATAATTCTCGATTTCGTCAAAACCCCATCTACAATTAGATCTAATCGACCCAATCAAGGAGACAATAACATGACTAAATCTCATAATACCTTCGAATAAATAGTTGCGGAAGAATTGGGAGCAGCTAAATGAAGATAAACTCAGACGAGATAGCAAAATAGATGACTTTGTTCAAGGTGGTCACTGGCATATCCCATCTTCTATGTGTCTTCGTCCAAGGTGTTCAGTGTTCACCGGCATTGGAGGCGACGACCACGAAGAGGGCCCGATGGTGACGATGACGAGGACTGCCGGTGAGTAGACGACGACGATCAGGGCGAAGACTAGGTTTGAGCGACAAGGGAGAAGGGCGGACGAGGGACGGAGTGAGAGATGCTATCTGTTAGTATTGCCCTTCAAAACGTTTCCCTAAACTTTGCTATAATAAAAAAAATTCGCTGATAGATTTTAGAATTGTGGAGGAGCCGCGATATTTTTGGTCTTTTTAAAAAATTAGACATAAAAGCGCGGAACGGAGGGAACCAAAACTTGATTGTCGAAAATTTAAAATGTATAGTGTTATAAAAAAATATGTGCCACTAAAGCACATACTATAGTGGCACTAAAACCTTATTCCACTAAAGGTTTATGCCACTAAATGTAATTTTATTTGTAGTGCATCATTCGATTTTGGGGAGATCAAGGCAAATCAAGTGTACTCTTTACTTAATCTTTTGTTTAAACTATGTTGGCATCAATTGATTTCGTTTTTGAGTTGTTTTCTGGTTTAATTATGAGCTAAAAACTCATATCTTCTGTTTAGGATAGATGACTTTATAAATATGGTTTGATTTTATGATTGGATTAATTTAATTTGGTGATTTTGTTTTGTTAAGCTTGTTAAAGAACCTTATGTGTTAATTACAACTATTTTCTGTTAATTAACCAGCATATTAAGTTGCATTAACATCTCTTAATTGCTAATCTCATATGATTTATATGTGAAAACATTGTTATATGCCTAGGAATATCGAACGTGAAACTAGGGTTAACTAGAAAATAGGAAAATTAATG